TCTGTTTTGTGTTCTTTCTTTTTTTTCTTGTTAGGGCTTGTTTGGGACCATAAAGAAGGCTGATCGCCGAAGAATTGATGCTTTTGAATTATGGTGCTGGAGGAGACTCTTGAGAGTCCCATGGACTGCAAGAAGATCAAACCTCTCCATTCTGAAGGAAATCAGCCCTGAGTGCTCACTGGAAGGACAGATCCTGAAGCTGAGGCTCCAATACTTTGGCCACCTCATGAGAAGAGAATGGAAAAGACCCTGATGTTGGGAAAGATGGAGGGCACAAGGAGAAGGGGACGACAGAGGATGAAATGGTTGGACAGTGTTCTCGAAGCTACCAGCATGAGTTTGACCAAACTGCGGGAGGCAGTGGAAGACAGGAGTGCCTGGCGTGCTCTGGTCCATGGGTCACGGAGAGTCAGACACGACTAAACAACTAAACAACAACAACATATGGCTTGTTAATCAGCAGATTGTCACCATTTTATCATATTTCTTCAAGGAGGGAGGGAATCAACCATACCTTGGAAAACCTTTATGATGGCATCTATGTTTCATATCATGCCCCTTTACCTACATCTCTGCCCCATTATGGCATTACGCAACAGTGGACTTTCTCCGCTAAGTCTTATAAATGCATTTGATTCCCTGCCACCTGCCCACTTTCTGGCAAAATTCATAGCGCAGCCGTTATTTATCGTTTCCGACAGTTGTGGCTCCCAGCTATTTACATTCGTTATGTGCTAAATACCACCGGAGACTGAAACATGAATAATAGAGCTAATTGTCCTTCACTAATCCAGTGGAACGACAAAATGTTAGACAAGGAATCTTTTCCGCAGGAAGCCCATAAAGATTTAGAATTTCCATGAGTGCAATTGTGTTTTGTGTAGTTATGGCACACTTCAGTCAAACAGGATTGCACGATTCCGATAGAATAAGACCGTGGGGGCATTCATCTGCTGGTTTAACCTTTGTCACTTCTGTAATGGCTTTCCATGAAGATGGATGTCAGGGAAGGAAAACAAAGCCGAGGCGTTATAATGGGGAAACTTTAAATGCCCACTTGGAAGAGATAGCTATTGCAAATGTTTCCCAGGTTGGGCTAGAGTGTTGTATCCAGTGCTAGTCCTGCTCCAAATAGACCCACTAAAGTTACAGAGCATAACTAAACGAGGCCCATTAACTTTGACTGGTAGTGCATGAGACTCTAGGTCTCTAGGGTCGTGGGTTTGAGTCCCACTGTGCTGGTCCTGAGGGCTAACCATGCGGCGAGGTCCGAGGTTGAGGGTGCAGTATGGAGGCTGCCTGTCAAAGCTGAAGCGGGGTCCAAGGCAGGGAGTCGGGTGCGGTCAGGAACTCTGGCAGAAGAGCAGGACAGGGTGCAGGCAGGAACAGGCTACCAACAATGTTGCTCCCACAACTTGGGACTGGGGCTGGCTGGCTTTTATCTGCCCCGAGGCATAGGGCGGCCCCGGTCCACAGGTGACTCTCCTCTCCTGGCCTGCAGGTGAGCACTCCTCCTGCGAGAACTTAGTTCCCTCCGCCTCTCTGCCCTGAGACTCTGCAGCTCAGGAGAGGCTGGAGGGTTACCGGACCCAGAGGCAACCTCAGCTTTCCCTGACGGGGCTGAGAGTGGAGCACCTGCAGGCAATGGGTCCTCCATCACCTCAGGGGCCAGAGCAGACTCAGCTGGTGCCTGCACCTGAGGATCCAGCACAGGTGAGGACCCTTCAGGTTCAAGCCCCAGTCCCGGCTCAGCTGGTTCTGGAGGCGGGGACTCCTGTGCAGGCTGGGATTCCTCAGGTTCAGCCTCCGAGTCCGAATCCCAGGCCATCACACCCACATTAGGCAAAAGATTCCTACATTGGGGTCCCTGCCAACTCTACAATTCTTCCGTTCATTCTACTTACAATAGGAGTTAGACTGGCAAAAATGTATAAAAACTGTAGTGATGTCTGTTGGAGATGCAACAATGGGGCAGGAACCTTTCTACACATGTGGTGGGAGTACAAAGAGATAGTGGGATTCTGGGAAAATATTTATAACGAATTGAAAAAGATGTTTAGATTTTCATTTGGAAAAAACCCAGAATCCTTTCTCCTAGGTATCATGTCAGAGGAAATAAAAAGAACGGTCAGACCAATATTTATGTATGCGACTATGGTGGCAAGGTTATTAATTGCCCCAAACTGGAAAAGCAGCAGCGTCCCAACTAAAACAGACTGGCTATCTAAAATGATGGAATACTTCCATATTGCCGAATTAACAGGGAGGATAAGAGGAGATATGGTACAAAAAGTGAATAAGGAGTGGGCTATCTTTAAGGAATACATCAAAATCTATGTGGGGGAAATTGAATTTTCGACAGATATTGAGTGAATCCGAAAAATGATTAGAGTAATAATAAATTTTATTTATACCCTGCCCTCCCCCAGCCAAGACCGGGCTCAAGGCGGCTAACACCAGATATAAAAACTATTGATTGAAATACAACTTTAAAAACAAAATTAAAACACAACATTAAAACATTAAAATGCAGCCTCATTTCAGTGGAAACTCAAATCAAAAACTTTTGATATTATTATTATTATTATTATTATTATTAATACCCCACCCATCTGGCTGGGTTTCCCCAGCCACTCTGGGCGGCTCAAACATTAAAAATATCAAACATTAAAACTTCCCAGGAGTTCCCTAAAGGAACAAAAACTCCTGGGTAATGTGGCCATTCTACAGCAATAGAAATTCTACATTTTCTTCCATTGCTTAACATCCTCAGGTTTTTTTCTCATCAAAGGGATGTCGTCGGCTTGATACAATTTATTAAGCTTTTGAGGTACTATTACCCCCAGATATTGAAACTGTATACAAGGGGAGTATAGTAAAACTAATTCTTGCTTACCCTAAGGAGGGAACGCTGCCAGTGGGTCAATTAACACAATTGCCATGTTGTTGGTAAAAAGATTCAAGTTATGCTCCCTTCTCTCGCCAGATATCTCTTTGCTATTAGGATTTACTTATCCATACATATCAACAAAAGTGAACAACGTTTTCAGAGGACTCTTGAGATCTCTAGCCCGAATCAAAACATTAGCTATATTAAACAGGAAGTTGCAAAAACCAGCAACAGATGTTTTCTAAGTGATGTCAGTTATCAGAGAAGCCAATTTCCAGGTACTTAGCATCTTACAGTGGTACCTCGGGTTAAGTACTTAATTCGTTCCGGAGGTCCGTTCTTAACCTGAAACTGTTCTTAACCTGAAGCACCACTTTAGCTAATGGAGCCTCCCGCTGCCGCCACGCCGCCGGAGCACGATTTCTGTTCTCATCCTGAAGCAAAGTTCTTAACCTGAAGCACTATTTCTGGGTTAGCAGAGTGTGTAACCTGAAGCATATGTAACCTGAAGTGTATTTAACCCGAGGTACTTTGTAGTTTGAGAACCACAGGCTTAGCAAATTCTCCACTAAAATAATAATAATAATAATAATAATAATAATAATAATAATAATAATAATTACCCCTTCCATCTGGCTGGGTTTCCCCAGCCACTCTGGGCGGCTCCCAACATAATATTAAAAACAAGATAAAACATCAAACATTAAAAGCTTCCGTAAAGTTCCCTAAAGGAGTAGTTTTGTACAAAAACTCCTGGGTAATGTGGCCATTCTGCAGCAAAAGAAATTCTACATTTTCTTCCATGGACAATCCACATGTTGATTTTTTATTTTATTTTTAAAATGTCCCTAAACAGGAATTGGAAGAGATGTGAGTATCCTCCTCAGAGATTTTCTTTTGCATTCCAATATATGGTTACAGATTTGGGATGAAGACCCCCCCCCCCAAATACTAGAAATTAATAAATGGCAGGACTTTGATGACGTGAAGGGAGAAATACAAACTGCAGAACTACAAAAATACAAACTGCAGAAATACAAACTTTTGGGCTAGCCTATGCAGAATGACCTGGCCAAGCTAGCATCATTAAGAAAAAATTGAGGGCCATTGGCAATACAAGAGAACTGTCCTCCCCCCTGCCCTGAGGTATGAACAAAGACTGGGGGTTTGGAAGGTTCCCAGGGTAACTGGGTTAAGTTGAAAGGAAAGGAGAGTTTTTAGTGGGGTAGATAAAAATCACTGATTTTTTTAAATATATTTTTTATTTAAATTGGATTTTTAAAATAAAATGCTTTTGGGGGGAAAATCTTTCTAAAGATAGTTTTCCATTTAACTTGCATTATAGTCCAAAGGCTATTCATCAGGAAATAAAGATTTGTTTTAAGTTTTTCATGTGTGCTGAAACTCAGTGTAAGGTTGTTGGGTTTTTTGGAAAAATTGTTTAACCACATCAGTTAACAAACGTGGATACATATGCTGTAATGTTACTGTTTTAGTTAAATAAATTGTTTAAATTGTTCTTCAGGAAATGATCATTTTTATCCTTCCAATGAAGTATAGCAGAAAAGTCATTCAAATATAAACAGTTAACTTATTAAACCTCACCATAATTTCATAATTATCTGTCTATGTATTTCTAATAGTATAACCAAATCAGTAATTTTTGATATAACCGTAAAAACTACTCTGAAATTGTATTATTCTAAAAATGAAACCTTCACCTGGTTGCAAAGATTAAGATTATACCAGCAAGAATGAGTCTTTTTGTAAAATACTAATAAAAATCAAGTCTTAATGACTAGTGATTTAAATCAATTCGATTTAAATCAAATCCACCCTGGTTTTTAGCAACATGTTCTTGGAGGATGAAGGCGGAAGAAGACAGACTGGGATCCATCTTGGGAAGGCTGGCTGGGAGAGATGTCTTGAGCTTCAGGGCTGCACTACTATGAGGTACAAGCCCCTCTGGAAATGACCGTGCTGTATGCAGACTGAAGCCATAAATAGGTGAATAAACCATATTTCTTAAAGCTACGACATGATTTGCAAACCCGCGACGGAGCAGTTCGCCGTGCGAGTCGATGGCTAGGAAGAGGAGAAGGGCCCAGCCATGAGCATCTTAAACAAGGCCAAGAGTGAGATGGACCCAGAGGAGCTGCAGAAGAGGGAGGAGGAAGAATTCAAGACGGGGCACCTTTCTGTTCTCACCCAGTCTGTAAAAAAAAATACTCAGGTGCTGATCAACTGTCGAAACAACAAGAAGCTGCTTGGCCGGGTCAAAGCCTTTGACAGGCACTGCAACATGGTGTTGGAAAACGCTAAGGAGATGTGGACAGAGGTGCCCAAGAGTGGGAAAGGCAAGAAGAAATCGAAACCTGTCAACAAGGACCGCTACATCTCCAAGATGTACCTGCGTGGAGATTCAGTCATTGTGGTGCTGAGGAACCCCCTAATCGCTGGGAAATAATAGGCTGTCAGCAGGCGGTAGGTGCTTGAGAGCCTAGTCCAGCAAAGAGCTGTCTTCAGGGTATTTACCAAGAGGCTATTATGGTCTGCTGATGGCTTTAGCCAATAGCATCTTCTTAGCAGCTGCCTGCTCTTCGAATCATTTTTGTGCCCACGAGTGTACCCCGATGAAGGAAAGTGCAAGGCTTCTTGCTATTCATAGAGTTGGCTGATAAATTTTCCAATCCCCAGACACCTGGTTATGTTCATATATGTTGCCTGATGACCTTTTCTTTTGTAATAAACATTTTGTTAAAATCCTAAAAAAAAAGAAGCTACGACAGCCTCTGTCATATCTCAGTTACCAAAGGATCACAGACCCTGGGTGAGTGCCTGGAATGCCATGAGCTCTGGCCCCCACTCAGCAGAGGAGGAGGCACCCAGCTTGGTAACAATATATTTTTCCAGCAGGTGTTCCTCTAGCAAGGAAAAAGCAGTTGTCTTGCAAAAGGCCCTGGATAGATGTTGACCTCAACATAAAGATTTTCCTTTGAGTTAGCACTAGAGGGTGCACTATGTTTAGGACATAAATGCCAAACCCTACATCTCTCTTCTCTTTCTTTGCCGCCAGCTAAGATCTACTCCAGGAACTCTGGTCTAAGGTAAAGCATGTTTGGTGCCTTCTGCCAATATGGTTACAGAAGCTGGCTTCTGCAAATTTGCTCCCAAAATATTGGTAAGAACAAAACGATCCATACGTATAGTTTGGCTTCCCCAAAGCCAACTTGTAGTACAAGTTGGGACGCGGGTGGTGCTGTGGTCTAAACCACTGAGCCTCTTGGGCTTGCCGATCAGAAGGTTGGCGGTTTGAATCCCCGTGACGGAGGGAGCTCCCGTTGCTCTGTCCCAGCTCCTGCCAACCTAGCAGTTTGAAAGCATGCCAGTGCAAGTAGATAAATAGGTACCACTGTGGCAGGAAGGTAAACAGTGTTTCTGTGTGCTCTGGTTTCTGGCACGGTGTTCCGTTGCGCCAAAGTAGTTTAGTCCTGCTGGCCACATGACCCAGAAAGCTGTCTGTGGACAAACGCCGGCTCCCTCGGCCTGAAATTGTTTTAGGCATCAGAAGTGTGTCTGCTTACAGATCAGAGAACACCAATAGAATATTAGGAGCACGTAGAAGGATAATATGTCATAGCATGACTGCTAAGGGAGGAAAATTCAATGTCAATGTCATAAGTAGTTGGAATTGGTAAGCAATAGATGTGGAAGGTGACTATCAGAGTGGTACAAGCCCCGAATTATTGACATTTCTTCCTATATACATAAAAATGTAAGGCTGTTGTCACGCTGTAGTTGGCATGGCCACTGATAGGCAACTACTCCAACATGACAACAGAATGGCAGGCAGGTAGGTGAGCAAGCAGGGGGCTATGGCATGGGGAGGGCATTTTAGAAATCAGTTTAGACCTCACAGAATTGGAATTACCAAAGGTGCCATGGGCTTTGAAGACGCTCAAACTCAGGACGAAAGGGAGAAATGTGCTAAGAGGAAGGCATGTTGGGCAAACCCTCACCATGATCAACTCCCACCTGGAAACCTATGTCCCCACTGTGGAAGGATGTGTGGATCCAGAATTAGCCTCCACTGTCACTTATGGAAGACAATCTTACTCAGCTACGAGTGATTGCCAAAGAAGAAGAAGACCCTGCCCACCCGCCCAACTGCTTCCACCACCACTGGAACATTCCCCTCTCACTGAGTTTCGGAGAGAGGGTGGCATTCTGGTGGGGTGGGCAGGGTGTGGTGGAAGGCAGCATATTCCCATTAGCTTCTGGTGGCAAAAGGAGCTGGGCCACTCCTTCTTGCAACTAGCAACCAGCTGAAGGAAAATTTGAAAGACTGGATACATACATCCTGGAAATGTGCCCATTTTTCAAGTAGAAAAGCTCACTTAGGGATTATCTGCGGGTGTAAACTTATTTAAGCCATTTCCACTCTTCGGGAAACCCTAGGAACTGTATTGCTGCTGGAGAAGGCTGGACCTCCCTAACAGAATTCTTCACATTCATAACAAACTGCAGGTTCCAGGAATCTTTTATTCCATGGCACTTAAACTAGTATCAAAACCATACCCTCCAAACTTTCTCCGATAAAAACAGAGGCATCCCATTATGCTATAACTTTAATAAACTTACAGAACCAATTTCTTTCTTGTTCACCTGTTACCTGCATTCTAAGAAATTCTGAAGTAATATACCCAAGAAATGTGTGTTTTTAACAGCTAATGGTCTGACTGAACTGTTTCCAGCCTAGGGCAAAGCTTAAGGATTGTTCTTTCTTTCTTTCTTTCTTTCTTTCTTTCTTTCTTTCTTTCTTTCTTTTTAAAAAATAACTCTGGAAATGACTAGTTTGTTTCAAAGTAGTGTTGCGAAATGGTATCTATAGCTTGCAACACGGAGCATATTCCTTCTGCTGTGTCCATTAATCTTTTAATGCCCTTCAAAATGTGTTGGGTAGAAGCAACCTTGCATGTCTCCCGTCGGCAGAGGGCAGGGTTGAGACTAACGGATAGTCTGGACTCTGGAGAAAATACACTTCAAGGTTTTCCATTAAATTTCCACGTTCTCTCCAATCGCCTTTCTCTCTCTCCCCCCTCTCTCCTGTAGGAGGCAGTCATGAAACTATCTTCTGGCACGTGGGCTTAGGATCTGAAGCTGTGCTTGTAAATATGTAAGGAAATAACATTTCCCCCCCTTTACTAATGGAACCTTTATTTACTCTTTTTAAACAATGAGACAGAACGGGTGGTGGTGGGATTGAGTAGCTCCAGCTTCTAGGTTTTTTAAAAAACCTCTGCTATAAGCTATACTATTTTGTTGTTGTTTAGCTATACTATATATTAGCCAATTAAAAAAACAACTGAGGAGAGGAAGGGGATTACCGTACTTTTTGCTCTATAAGACGCACCAGACCACAAGACGCACCTAGTTTTTGGAGGAGGAAAACAAGAAAAAAAATATTCTGAATCTCAGAAGCCAGAACAGCAAGAGGGATCGCTGCGCAGTGAAAGCAGCAATCCCTCTTGTTGTTTTGGCTTCTGTGACAGCTGCGCAGCCTGCATTCACTCCATAAGTCGCACACACATTTCCCCTTACTTTTTAGGAGGGAAAAAGTGAGTCTTATAGAGCAAAAAATACGGTATTTCCTCCTCCCCACCCATCAGTTGATCAGTCTGATGAGTGTGGAGAGTCAATGCACATCTGCACCAGAGCGCTGGCGTGGGTGGAGGGTTTTAAATCTCTTTGCCTAGTCCAGAAACATGTTTAGGATGGAAACTGCCCTTGCTCTGCTTGTCTTCTTCGGTTCCCCATCCTCTACCCCAGGGGTCATCAAACTTTTTCAGCAAGGGGCCAGTCCACTGTCCTTCAGACCTTGTGGGGGGCCGGACTATTTTTTTGGGGGGGGGAATGAACAAATTCCTTTCCCCCACAAATAACCCAGAGATGCATTTTAAATAAAAGCACACATTATTCTCATGTAAAAACAGGCCCCACAAATAACCCAGAGATGTATTTTAGATAAAAGGACACATTCTACTCATGTAAAAACATGCTGATTCCTGGACCGTCCGCAGGCCAGATTTAGAAGGCGATTGGGCCGCATCCGGCCCCTGGGCCTTAGTTTGCCTACCTACGCTGTACCCCAACCCCTGTGCCATTGCTAATGGAAAATTGATTTGGGGGAGCTGGGGGAACGTAGTGGGTCAAATCATCCCTGCAGACTGGCAATTTGCCTTCTTTACATTAAGTGTTGAACTCGCTGCAGAAAGCTACGCAGACACTCCAGTATAATACTTAAATGTAGAAGCAGCTCCAATAAAGAATAATATCCCCTGAGCAGAGGTGCCAACAGGGCTTTCAGGGTCCAGTGCACTGTATGTGGATTTGGGGATGCGGGTGGCGCTGTGGTCCAAACCATTGAGCCTCTTGGGCTTTCCGATCAGAAGGTCGGCAGTTCAAATCCCTGCGACGGGGTGAGCTCCCATTGCTCTGTCCCAGCTCCTGCCAACCTAGCAGTTCGAAAGCACACCAGTGCAAGTAGATAAACAGGTACCGCTGCAGCGGTAAGGTAAACAGCGTTTCCTTGTGCTCTGGTTTCTGTTACAGTGTCCTGTTGCACCAGAAGCGGTTTAGTCCTGCTGGCCACATGACCCAGAAAGCTGCCTGTGGACAAACACCGGCTCCTTTGTCCTGAAAAGCGAGATGAGCGCTGCAAGCCCATAGCCACCTTTGACAGAACTTAACCATTCAGGAGTCCTTTGACTCTTTCACTGACCTCAAATATTCCTCTTCAGTGAGGAAGGAAATAGGGAAGTCTCCCCATTGCTCACAAATCCTGACTTAAGGGCGTACAGTGGTGCCTCGCAAGACGAAATTAATCCGTTCCGCGAGTCTCTTCGTCTTGCGGTTTTTTCGTCTTGCGAAGCACGGCTATTAGCGGCTTAAAGAAAAAGGAAACAAACTCACAAGAACTCGCAAGACGTTTCGTCTTGCGAAGCAGCCCATAGGGAAATTCATCTTGCGGAACTACTCAAAAAATGCAAAACCCTTTCGTCTAGCGAGTTTTTCGTCTTGCGAGGCATTCGTCTTGCGGGGCACCACTGTATTTGTGTATGAATAGGGTGAGCCTGTGACCTGGATTCAGGAACTAAGTACAGTCATACGTCAGGTTGAAGTAGCTTCGAGATGAATATTTTTAGGTTGCGCTCCGCGGAAACCTGGAAGTAACGGAGCGCGTTACTTCCGGGTTTCACCGCTCATGCATGTGCAATCGCTCAAAATGATGTCACGCGCATGCACGGAAGTGCCAAATCATGACCCGCGCACGCACAGACACACGGTCACGGGTTGCATTCGCTTCTGGATGCGAATGGGGCTCCGGAATGGATCCCATTCGCATCAAGAGGTACCACTATATTTAGCATCTCAAAAGGAATGGGCAGGCTGCCCAGGTAATGCAAT